GAACTGATGGCATCTGAATACAGATTGAAGCGTATTATTTTTCACTTTCTTTTTTTCATTTTTTTGGGTTTGTTTTCTTCAACAAAATGACTAATATTGTACATGACTATACACAATTGTGCATGCACAACCTATACCAGAGTGCTTACTGTCTCAGGGAGGAGAGAGGGGAGAGAGAAAAGGATAGAAGTTGGAACTGAAAAGTTTAAAAAATTAATGTTAAAAATTTTTTGCATTTAATTGGGAGAAAAAAAGATAAAATACTATTTTTAAAAAGATACACCATTAAAAAAAAGAGTCGCCTTGAGCACCAAGAAGTTAATTGGTTTGCTAAGGTCCCAGTCAGTATGGATCAAAGATGGGACTGAAACCCGGACTTTCTTGACTCTCAGAACAACTCTTTTTTCACTTAATCATGCTACACCTCCTAATTGCTGGACGTAGCATTGTTTGTGGGTCCAAAAATTCAGAAGAGAGGGAGGAAGTGATATGGCCCTGAGTCACTTCATTGTCATTATTGCCTTTGTCATTTCTACTTTCAGCTTCAAGAGATGGGCCCAATGCAAAAAGACTGAAGTTTTCAACCAGAAGCAAAATTGATAATTTCAGGTAATCTACCACACTAAGCATTCCGTATTGGGAAAGGACTGATTTCAGGCTCATTTATAAAATAGGTGAAGTTTACCTTCCTACTTTAGCTTTTAGGAGGTCTCTTTCTCCTTCATCAGCCTCATTATAGCCATCGTTATAGACATAGGTGGTATAGATGTAGATACAGATTTGACTGGACTTCATTGTGATTTCATTGGTACAGGGAATTCTCAATGAGGAAACTCACTCAACCATGCATATTGGCATCCTCTCTGCAATGTATAGTATTAGAAATTTTCCCAGGCCACCAAGAAGCTAAGTGATTTTTTCCCAAGATCCCACAGCCAGTATATATCAGAGATGGGGCTTGATCTCAGGTCTTTCAGGTTGAGAAGATAACTGTCTGCTAAGCCATACCACTTCCCTGGTGGTGATGCAGGGTAGGATGTGGCAGTAATGGGCAAAGCAATAGACTTAGAGTCAGAAGAGGCTGGGGTTTGAATCTCGGCTCTGATACTTCCTAACTAGTGGATTTTGTTCCCTAGAGATATGAACACTCTCTGAACTCCAGTTTCCCCATCTGTAACATGACTGTAATATAACTCATGCTCTGTACTTTATAGAGTTGTGAGCACTTTGAAAATGTTGAAACCGTTAGAAAGCTAAATAAATATGAACTATTCTCTGCATATAATATATTTTTACCAGTGTTTCAAAACAGTGGTTCTCAAACTTTTTGGTCTCAGGACCCCTTAACACTCTCAAAAATTTTTGAGGACCCTCCCTCCAAAATAATTTTTATTTATGTGGGTTGTATCTAAGGATATTCACTCTATTAGAAATTAAAATAGTATTACTAGGAAAATAATAATGACCTCTCAGATCCACTGAGAGAATATAGGGACCTCCCAAACCACAGTTTAATAACTGCTATTTTAAATTAAGGAAGTAAGTATAATCCACCCTCTAGCAAGCCTCAAATATCCAATACTTCACATAGTTCCAATTTTTCATTATCGTTATTCTGACAGTAGGAAGGAACTGACATACTCATGCACATTAAGGCATATAAATTATACTTACATATACAGTTATTTACATTATTTTATTAGAGAATAACAGAGAAATTTCATGATAGTGGGATTTTAGTCCTATTGAGGACTGTCATTGGACAGATCGGAAGAGGAAATTTTGGGGGAAAGTCAAGGCAGGAGGAGTAATGTCTCAAGTCATGCTGGTGGCTGCTTATTCCTCCTGTCCATAAGGTTAACCCTGGCCAGGGTCCCTGGGTTTCAGACACTAGGCCATCTAGAAAGCAGAAATGAAGTGCTCCTTACATTGTCCACTCAAAAAGTTAATTTCCTTTTTCTATTTTTCTAGTAAGGCACTAGAATCTTCAGAGAGAGAGAACGAGGCACCCTCTCCAGCCAGGTAATTAGTATTGTCTATTATTCCCTAAGGGATAGAGCAAATGAGTTTCTTGGACTTCAATGGAAAGGATACAGATTAGACATAAGGAATGACTTTCTCATGGTTTCAACATATTACACTTACCCAAGCCTGGCCTGATGTAGCCTTGTATGTGCTACATGTATTTCTGTTCATATAGTAACATGATGGTAGCCACCCAAAGTACACACTTAATTATTTTCTAGTAATAGAGATTGATTTGCACTGACTTATCCACACTTTCTCACACAGTTCTCCTTATGATCAACTACATTACATGCATTTGGGAGATAGATGGCTAGAGTTAGGAATTGCTGTCTATTGATAAGGCAGAGAGGGAAATGAACTGGCTTAGTCTTATGACCTTAGTCTTATTGGTACATACCCTCTGCAACTGAGCTAACAAGCCATTGACATGGATACCTGGTAGATGTTCAATAACCTATCATACAAGAATATACAATGTAGGGAATAAATGTGGACAGAAATATTCTGTTAGAAGGTACAGAGTAGAGGTGGCCTGTATAATTTGTACAGAATTAACTTTGTCAGTCTGCAGAGGGTAGGATGTGATAACATAATATCTTGATGTAAAAACAAATCATTTATGATGGAATACTATCGTACTACAAGAAATGAGCAGAATGCTCTCAGAAAAACCTGGAAAGACTTGCATGGGCTGATGCGAAGTGAAATGTACTGTGTACAAAGTAACAGCAATATTGTAAGATGATCAGCTGTGAATGAATTAGCTATTCTTCAACACAACTCTGAAGGGATTATGATGAAAAATGCTGTCCATCCCCAGAGAAAGCACTGATGGTGTCTGAATACAGATTGAAGCATACTTTTTTTTTTACTTTATTTTTCTCAAGGATTTTTTGTCTCTTTTCTTTCACATAATTATTATGGATATGTTTTGCATGACTACATATGTACAACCTATATCGAATTGCTTACTTTCTCAATGGGGGGTGAGGGTGGGGAGTGGGGAGTGGGGAGAGAGGAAGGGAGAGAATTTGGAACTCAAAGTTTTAAAAACAAATGTTAAGTGCAGTGGATAGAGCTCCAGCCTTGGAGTCAGGAGGACCTGAGTTCAAATCCGGCCTCGACACCTGACACTTACCAGCTGTGTGACAATGGGCAAGTCACTTAACCCCAATTGCCTCACAAAGAAAAAGGTTACAAATTGCTTTTACATGTAACTGGAGAAAAACCAAATACTCAATTAAAAAAAAACAGATCACTAAGACAGGATGTGTTTATTTCAGAGGCATACTACCCATTAAGACGTCGACTCCCATTTATTCAAATTCGATGGTCTCAGGAATAGATATTTCTGATTTCCCTGGAAGCCGGCCAATGAGTCCAGAAGAACAGATTGATGTGATGATCCAAGAAGAAAATGAAATGGCAAAAAAAGAACCTGAACCCTCAAAGTTAGACTTGGAGGTGGGCTCCATTTTGTTTGCTCTCCCTTCATTGATTATTATCCCCCATTGTCCAAGAAGTGTTTCTTTGAATCCAGCTAAAAGCTTCTTTGCTTTTGTTTAAGACCCTTTGCTCTTAGTTGGTACTCTGCAGACAAGGAGAATGGCTGCTCAGCCTCTTCATCAAGACAGTAAGAAATAACTGCTCCCTCGACACTTAACTGGGGAGGCTAAGTGGCGCTGTAAGTGCGCAGAGTTCTGGGCCTAGAGTCAGGAAAATTCATCCTCCTTATTTCAAATCTAGCCTCAGACACTTACTAGCCATGTGACCCTGGGGAAGGAAAGGAAAGTCATAAAAGGGGAATGAAGTTAAAAGCAGTGGAGTTCCAGGTCTAAGGGCAAATGTCCCTAGAAAGATCATCAGTAGTTTCAGTTAAGTTATGCAGAGCAGTTTCTGTAAGTCCATCTAATCACTTGTTTCCTTTTTAAAGCTGTTTTTGTTGCTGCTGTTTGGTTTTGTTGTTTTGTTTTCGGTAGAGATATTATTATTATGTGACTCATGGGATTCGGAAAGACATGATTGCCCAACAGGATGAGAATATACTTGGACGAATTCTGAAACTTATTCCATCGCACTTGATAAAGAATCCCAAACTGGAGCCCTTATTAAGAAATCTTGTGGAGGAGAATGAACAAGACTACTACCACAGTCTCATGAAGGACATTGGTAAATCATAGGACACATAAAGTCATGGCTTGGTATATTCAATAGGAAGAAAATAAGCATTTATTAAGTGTTTACAGTGTGCCAGGCACTGTGCTAAGCACTTGACAAATATTATCTCATTTTATCTTCACAACAACCCTTCTAGATAGATGTTATTATCACCATTTTGCAGTTGAGACATCTGAGGCAATCACAGGTTAAGTGACTTGCCCAGGGTCACACAACTAGAAAGTATCTGAGGTTGGATCTGAACTCATGTCTTCTTGACTTCAGGCCCAGTGTTCTCTCTACTGAGCCATCTAGATATCTCTAGATCAGGTTGGGGAACCTGCAGCCTTGAGGCCACATGTGCCCTTCTAGATCCTTAAGTATGGCCTTTTGACTGAATCCAAATTTTATAGAACAAATCTTTTTATTAAAATCTAGGTCCAAACACTAGCTTTGCCATCTCTGTGACTTTAATGAAGTCACTTGACCTTTCTAGGCTGCAGTTTCCTCATCTGTAGAACAAGGGAGTTGGATTAGGGAACTACTGCAGAAAAGCATTTGATAAAATCTCTCATGCTGTTTTTGTGTAAATGATGAAAAGGAATGGTCTGGAGCAGTGATCCTCCAACTTTTTGATATCAGCACATGCTTAAAAAATTATCAAGAGCCCTTTGACACTCTTAAAATCATTGAGGACTTCAAGGAGCTTTTGTTGATATGGGTTATATCTACTGATATTTACCATGTTAGAAGTGAAAGCTGATAAATTTTTTAAGTTGTGTTTATTAATTTATTTAAAAATAATAATGAACTCATTACAACACAAATACCATATATTTGTGAAAAAATAACTACATTTTCCAAGACAAAAACAATGTAGTGAGAAGAATGGCATTATTTTTTACATATTTTGGCAGGTATCTTCAATGTCTGGCTTAAAAGAAGGCAGCTGGATTCTCATATCTGTTTCTGCATTCATTTTGTTGGGATGTGTTGTTTTGATTGAAGTATAAGAAAAAAATCCAGCCTCACACAACTGTGCAGTTGGAAAAGAAAAGATTATTTTAATGGGCAAATAATGACTCAGCATTATTATGAAAATAGTTTTAACTTCAAGAACCTCCTGAAAGGGTCTCACGGACCCCTAGTCATTTGCAAATCATACTTTGATAACCACTGGGCTAGAAGACAGTACAATTAAATGAATTCAGAACTGAGCTCAAAGACTAGTCATTAATATCTCAATGACAACTTGAAGGGAAGCCTGCAGTGAAGTGCCCCGAAGGACCTGTGCTTTGGTCCTATGCAGTTTAATATTTTTATATTATATTTAATACTTTATTCCTTGGATAAGGCATAGAAGGTACATTTAACAAATTAACAGATGACACAAATCTAGAAAAAATAGCTAATATATTACAGAGTCAAAATTTAAAAGCTCTTGATAACATAGAGTAGTGGTCTCCATTTTGGAGACCAAGTTTATCTCTAGGCTGTGGCCTGACCCCAAAGAGTATGTGATCAGCTGAGAGGATGAGATGATGGGTTTGTGTCCCACCCTTCCCATTCCAAGCAATCTTAAAGCTTGTCTCCAACGCAGAATACTGGGATTCTGACTCTGCCCTCCAATTCCCTTGTAAGTTCCCAACTTTACCTAGTGTTAGTCCCTCAGAGCAGTTATAATTTAAACACTACCCAGGCACTAAGCACCCTAAGTTTTCCATATCACCTGGTAACTTCAGACATTTTCTCTCAGAGAATGGCTTCTGTGGGCCAGAATGCTTTCCCATCTCACCTTAACTTCTCTCAGTACTCAGCTCAAGTATGACCTTTTCCTCATTCCCCAGTTGTTAGATGTCTCCCTCTATCAAAATTACTTTTTATCTACTTATCTGTGTATATGTTGCTTCTACTGGGTAGACTATAAACTCCTTGACAGCATGGACTGATTTTCTTTTATTCCTTTGTGTCACTGGTGCCTAGGCACAATGCTTAGCACATAATAGGTGTTTAATAAATGCTTGTCAAATTGAATTGAAGATCATAGCTTATTGCAAAATGAACAAATACATAGATTGTAAATTTGGAGCTGGAAAGGAACTTTAAAGCCCACATAGTCTGGCATCCTTATTTTTTTAAAATGAGGAAACTATGGCTCTGAAACATAAAATGACCTGTCAAATGTTACAAAGGTAACAAGAGACAGAGGTAGGATTTGATCCCAGGTTGTCTGACTCTAGAACAGGAGTTCCTAATATTCTTTTGTGTCATGGACCCCTTGGCAATCTAATGAAGTCGATGAATCCCTTCTCAAAATAATGTTTTTAAATTCATAAATTAAAATATATAGGATTACAGAGGAAGCCAATTACACAGGGTGAGTAAGCAAATAAACAGACATTTATATAAAATCTACTATGTGCCAGGCACTGTGATAAGTGCTTTTAACAAATATTATCTCATTTAATCCTCCAATGACCTTCTGAGGTAGGTGTTATTATTATCCCCATTATACCTTAAACTTAAAGCTTAAGCTACAAAGTATAGGTTGTCCCAAAAGTTTCAGTATAGTTTTAAGCCTTTATGGCTTAAAGCTTAAGCCATAAAGGCTTAAAATTGTGCCAAGACTTTTGGGAAATTTCTTATTGAAATACAGTTATCAAAATATATATTTTTTAAAGTTCATGGAACCCAGATTTAGAACCCCTACTCTAGAGTCATTTCTGTTCTATCATATTATTTCATATAAATTCCCCCCCCACCCTTCAATGTAGGCAAAATAGTGGCCATTAAGCTTATTCCATGCAAAATTTTACTCCTTTTATAAAATATTAATATAATTAGTTCCAAGGGTTCTACTCAATCAATAGTTATTTTCTCATCCTCAATAGATATTTTCTTCATCCCCAACATATGTCACCCCCTTATATTTAGAATATTGTGTTCTAGGTTTTATAATATGGTTCAGTCTTAGGTTCACTGTACTCTAAGACCAAAAGACTTGCTCCTGCTTCTTCTGAGCTCCATCTGGAAAGGAAAAAAAAAATCAAATACCCAGGATGAATGTTTCACTTAGTCAATGCCAGGGGATATAAGCCAATAAACCAATTATGGAGAAAGAAAAGGAAGGAATGTTTTACCAGCAAAGAGGGCAACTAAAGTGGGAGACCTGGGCATTTCTGACAGTGTTGTGTTTATTCTCTTGGTTATAGTTGATTATATTCTGATGGATCCACTGGAGAAAGAAAGACTCTTTATTGCCAGCATCCCCCATGTGTTTCCTCAAAGAATAATTCGAGCACCAGTGCCATGGGACAAAAAATATAAGGCTGCGAAAACGTGGAATGAAGAGCATCTCTTTATAGTGAATCCCATGATGCTGATCCTGAATGAGTTGTGGTTTTCAGAGTAAGACACCCGTTCATTACATACGTATTATGTGTCTACCATGTGCTAAACACAGGAAAAGTAGTGATGGGAGCCAGATTATAAGGAGTGTAGGAAGAAATGGCAGGGAGTGAAGTGGAAGCAGCAAGTATAAACAATATTTGATGTCATCTTCATAACTGATAGGAGATTGGTTTAGGGAACTCTCTCTATCATTGCAGATCACCTCCCTCTCACACTTTATAATCTTGGAGATCTTCCTGGGTTACTAAGAGATTAAGAGACTTACCAGGGGTCACACAGCCAACATGTAGGAAGGAACAAACAGGACTTGAGCCCAGATCTTACTCCCTGGTGGTCTTTCCATTATACTGCTGCATGGAACATTTTTTTTAACGGATTTCAATTAACATTTATTAAGTATCTTCTATGTGCCAGGCACTGTGCTAAGCCCTGGGGATACAAATAAGAAAAAGAAAGACAAGCCTTTCCCTCAAGGAGCTTACAATTGAATGACAATCACACAGATTCAGTTGTACAAGCTTCTCCAGCAACATTTTAAAATAAAATTAATATTAAGCATTGATTAAGGTTGCATTTCATAGCATTTGAGCAGAGTAATGATCATCTTGACCAAACCCCTCATTTATAGATGTGGAAGCAGAAACTCTAGAATTACCCAAGACCCCACAGTCTATAAATGGCAGAACCAGGATCAGGTCTTTATTTTTATTTATTTTTTTAAATTTTAATTAATTTATTTTGAATTGTCAACAATCACTTCCATAAGCTTTCGAGTTTTAAATTTTTCTCCCCCTCCCTTTCTACTTCTCTCCCCAAGATGGTGCACAATCTGATATAGGCTCTACATATACATTCCTATTAAACATATTTTCATGTTAGTGATGTTGTAAGTAAGAATTAGAACTAATAGGAAGAACCACCAGAAAGAGGAAACAAACTGCAACAGAAGAAAAAAATAGCAAATAGTATACTTCGATCTGCATTCAAACTCCATAGTTCTTTCTCTGGATATGGATCGCATTTTCCATCATGAGGCCTTTGGAGATGTCTTAGATCCTTGTATTGCTGAGAAGGGTTAAGTCTATCAATATTAGTCATTGCACAATTGGCTGTTACTTTTTACAACGTTCTCCTGGTTCTGTTCACTTCACTCAGCATAAGACCATACAAGTCTTTCCAGGTTTTTCTGAAGTCAGCCTGTTCATCATTTCTTATAGCACAATAGTATTCCATTACATTCATATACCACAACTTGTTCAGCCATTCCCCAATTGATGGGCATCCTCTCAATTTCCAATTCTTCACCACCACAAAAAGAGCTGCTATGAATATTTTTGTACATGTGGGTCTTTTTCCCATTTGTATGATCTCTCTGGGATATAGCCCTAGAAGTGCTATTGCTGGGTTAAAGAGTATGCACATTTTTGCAGCCCTTTGGGCATAGTTGCAAATTGCTTTCCAAAATGGTTGGATCATTTCACAACTCCACCAACAATCATTAGTGTGGAACATTTATTAACACCTTAAAGTTTTCACATAATTTACATTTGTACCTTACAAGGGAGTTACAGCAAGTGTTGTTATCTACATTTTATAGATGAGGAACATGAGGCTCAGAAAGGGAGAGAAATAGGATCATAGTTTGAGGGAATAATAAGGTCATCAAAGGTTGATAGTGGAAGACCGATGCATGTTTGCAGGCAAAGAAGAAAGATCCAATGGGAGGACAGAGGTTGAAAAGAGAGGGAGTAATGATGATGATGATGATAATAATGATAACTAGCATTTATAGAGTGCTTACTATGGGCCAGACACTGTACTAAGCACTTTACAATTATTATGTCACTTTATAACAACAACTCCCCATTCTACAGATGAGGAAACTGAGGCAAACAGGCATTAAATGACTTGCGCAAGATCACATAGCTAGTAAGTATCTGAGGTCAGATTTGAACTTGGGTCTTTTTGACTTTAGGCCCAGCACTCTATTCACTGTACCACCTAGCTGCCTAGAGTATATGTGTTTGAGAAAGATCCCTCAGAAGTCAGAAAGGCATAAGACCTGTAGAGCTGGTATCAGGATTAACATTAGAGAGAAGAATTCCTTGGGGACCAGAGAGAAGAATGACTGATAGTGATATGTTGGGATATATGATATAATGGACAGTAATGTGTTGAGATAATGAGAAGGGTAAATGAAGAAGATCAAGCTGAATAGCTTCAATCTGCACTAGACACTGAGTATGTACAGAAAAAAATTAATCAGTCCCTGCCCTTAAGGAGCTTACATTCTATCAAAGGAGAATTCATATATATGTATATATGTGTGTGTGTGTGTGTGTGTGTGTGTGTGTGTGTGTGTGTGTGTGTGTAAGTATATGCCACAAAATACAAGGTAAAACAAATAATCCTCAGATGATAAGTCTCTCTGAACTTAGCAAGGCTGATCCTTGGACAAAAGATATATGAACTATCACCAAGCCTGAGCTCAAAGGCTTTCCAGCTTGGTAAGACCTGCCAGAACTTTGGCATAGCCTCTGAGAACCTAGGATCATCTCCATAAAAATAGAATTTTAGTGCATAGAAAATATATAAGTGGAGTAGTAGAAGTACAACCAAGCCCTCCTCCCCAAAAATTCCTCCAAACCTAGAAAGTATGCCAGATGGAATCCTGATGGGAAATCCAGGGGAAAAAATCACAGTGAATCATTTTTCTAGCCCAGCTTGGCACAGGTTGACAGAGTAAGAGGTTTTCTGACACTGCAGACTGGGTTGGCCTAAGTGGAGCATACCAGCACCCAGACGAAAAGTTTATACCAGGGCAAGAGGAGGATCCAGATGCATTCCAGGAACCACCTGACCCATCCTGGAGCACTGCATGGAGATAGGAGCCAGCTGGCAGCTTTGTGGCCCGCTACCCAGTTCTGGTTCACAGATCCAGAGTAAACTAAGACAGGGACTTGTCCATGGGGGTTGCATCCCTGGTAGGGAGGCTCTAGGCCACATGTCAAGAAAGGAGGACATTCAGAAGTAAACAGCTCAGATACCAGGAGTAGATTGGGGTTTTACTTATAGCATCTAGTCTAGTCTCTGGAGTAATAATCAAGGCAGGAATTCCAGACTTTAGGTGAACCTAGAGTTCCATAACACTGAACGAACAGAGCTTTCCAACTTCCTTATAGGGGCTGAGTCCAGAAGCATTCTACTTCTGATCAGATCCAAACCCAGGTTGGGAACTTGAAGAGTTCAGGCTTAGACTTTGCCCTGTAGCACACTTCTTTGGGAGTGCCGAAAGCCTGCAAGTTCCCAAATGTCCCTGAGATCTTGGAATAACAGAACAGTCAATAAATACCCTGAGAAAGAAGCAATAGGATCAACCCAAACCTCTCCAAAAGTATGGTAAAGCCAAGCCCTAACATCAAGTCTGAAGTCAGGAAGTAGACTGAATTAATGAGCAAACAAAAAAAGAATACCTCCATAAAGAGCTATTATGGTGGCAAGGATACTCAAGACACAAACTCAGAAGAGAATGACTCCAAAACACCTACAAGTAAAGTTTCAGAGAAAAATACAGCCTGAGCAAAAATTCAGCGATAATTCCTAAAAGAGATGAAGCAAAAGTTTTTAAAAGAGAGTTAAAAATGTTTTTATGAATCGAAGAATACTTGAGGAGAAATGGAAAAGAAATGGGACCTAGGGAAGAAAGAATTGGAAAGGAAATTAGCAGCTTGGCACAAGAGGTGCAAAACCTTGTCAAGCAACAAACTCCTTGAAAATTAGGATGGACCAAACAGAAACCAATGATTCCATGAGGCAAAATAATAATAATAATAATAATAATAATAATAAACAACAACAACAAAGTCAAAAGCTTAGGGAAAACATAGAAGAAAAATTTATAGCAAAAGTAACTTACCTGGAAAACAGATTAAGGAGAAAAAATTGAGAAACATTGGAATCATTGGACTATCTGAATGCCATGAACAACAGGAACAAAAAGAGCTCAGACATCCTATTTCAAGAAATCTTAAATAAAAACTGCACAGTTCTCTTGGAACAAGAGGGCAAAGTGGAAATAGGAAGAATCCACCAATCACTTCCTAAAAAAAACAAACTCCCAAATGTTCCCAGGAACATCTTAGCCAACATCCAGAGTTTCAAGGTCAAATTAAAAATATTACAAGCAGTCAGAAAGAATTCAGATACTGGGGAGCCATGGTCAGGATCACACAAGATTTAGGAAAGAAAAAGAAGGGAAAAGGAAAGGCAGGTTAACTTCCTTTATTTCCCATAATCAAGTGCACAAGTAGATTGATATCTACAAGGAAGAGAGGGTGGGGTAATGGTTGACATTTGAACCTCATTCTCATCTGAACTGGTCAAAAGAAGGAGGAATACAAACACAAACACACAGCTGAGTACAGAAATACATTTCACTCAACAGGGAAATAGTAGGGCAAGGGAGAAAGGGAGGAGGGGGAATTATAAGAATGGTAGATTAAGGTGTATTGATTAATCCTAGGCAAAACAAATCCTAAGGATGTACAAAAATATTTATAGACCTTTTTGAGGTGGGAAAAAATGGAAATAAGAAGGGGTATCCATAAATTTGGGGAACTGATGAAGCAGTTGTGGTATATAAATATGATGGATTGCTATTGTGCTATAAGAAATGAAGGAGTTGGTTTCAGGGAAACCTAGAAAGAAAACTCTTTTTATTTGTAATCTATAAATTTGATCAAATAATATTTAATATTTATTTAAAACAATATTTATTTCTAATAATAATAATAATTTAACTTATGCAGGTTTTCAAAAAAACTCTCTCTTACAGATTTTGTAAAATCAGGTTTGTTCGAACAGCAGAATTGCTTGCAGGACCATTGCCACTATTACCCAGTGAATTTTTCAAAGTCATTAAACAGCACTGCATTGAAGCTCGTCAAGTTCTTCTTGACAGGTCAGTATTGTGTTGAAATGGTGGTAATTAATGAGACAGAAGCAATTGGAATTAAAATTGAGAACCAGGTGAAGTTTAAACTGGTCCTCAATGCTGAACAGCAAAATCTTAGCCTCTCTTTGTACTTACATTGATTGACCCTCACATTCATCATCCTCACTCTTATACTTCTCACTGCTTCCCCCCTTCCTGTGTTTTTCTTTCCAACTATTCCTTTGCTTTCACAAAGGTTCTTTCTCCTGGAGCCTCCTCCTCATCTGTTTCCTATTATAGTACCTACTTTCCATCACTGACTGTCAAACCTTTGAGTCCTTTCTTGGTGATGTGGAAGATTTTAACATTCTTGTATTTTGGCCACCCAGCTGATTAACCTCAGAATCCTAAGGACAGGGAGGTTTCTAATGTTTAAGACAATTCATTTTTAGCCATTATAAGAATACATATGTAGC